GTGGATTTCATTTGTGTCCCTCCCAAACCCATACTGTTGAAGGTCTGAGTCCCCAGGTAATCATGTTGAGAGTGGGGCCTTTGGGATATAGATGAAGTCATGGGGTGGAGCCCCTTGATGGGATTGCAGTTCTTATAAAAAGAGGGAAAGACCAGAGTGCTCTTTACCACCTATGTAGGGACACACTGGGAAGGTGGCTGTCCAGAAGTGAGGAAGATGCTGATACCAGGAACCAAATTTGCTGGTCAACCTTGGATTTCCTAGGCCCCTAGGACTGAGGTGAGCAAAGGTTTCTTTAAGTCACTCAGTAGGACATTGTATTCTAACACATACCTATACATGTGAAATGAGAAAGGACCTACAGATGGCACCTAACTCATGATGGATGGTTCAGAGGGATGATCAATTTACAATTCTTCAACTTCATAGTGTTGCAAATGCTGCATGTATTTCATAGAAACTACACTTTGAGTCTTGATCTGCTCCCAGGCTAGCGAGTGGTAGGGACTGTTTCATAATTCTGGGTAGTAGGGGCATGAGCCACACAGCTCCAGCTCAGTCACAGGATCCTGAAGGGAAACAACTGATGGCCTCCAGTGCTCCATGTTGTTAAAGCTAGGATGCTGGGTTGGTGAGGTGTATTAAATGCATTTTGTTGTTGCTGTTGTTGTTGTTTTGAGATAAGGTCTCCCTGTAGCCTTAGCTGGCCTGAACTCACTATGTATGGCTGGCCTCTCTCTCACAGAGATCAGCCTGCCTCTGCCTCCCAAGTGCTGGGATTAAAGGCGTGTACTACCACACCCAGCCTATTAAGTGCATTTTTGATTTAACAACATTTTTCAACTTACCATGAGTTTATTGGCATGTAGCCCCATTATAAGTCAAGGAGCATCTCTGGGTGCTGATATTACATGCAATTATGCAAAATTTTTGCCAAATGTGTCAAACATAAAAGAATAAAAATATTAATGCCACTGGGAAAATAATAAAATGATAATTTTAATTTAGCATTTTCCCATCTTACTGTGAGCCAGCCACTCTTAATTAACGACATTTTTCTTTTCACTTAGTCCCCTCCCACCCCAGGCAGACTGTATAGATGAGGAAAGGGAGACTTCAGAAATTTAGGTGACTTGTCTGAAGTCAGTCTGCTAGGAAGAAGCTCTATGTATGTTTATGGTGGAAGCATACTTAAGGAACATTAGGGAACAGGCTAGCAATGGGAGTTGGCTTAGGAAGAGAACTTTATTTAAATGTGTGGAAGGTAGATCCAGATAGATCTTTCTGTCAAGTCTACCTCACAAACTTGCTACGGAAATGGGATAAACTACTCCACCACTGATTACATAGCACCATGCTAAAGAAGGCTGTGTGTTCAAAACCTTGTCAAGGCACAATCTACTTATTTTTCAAGTTCTCTGTTAAATCTTTTTAGAATAAGAAAGAGCACAGATATGCAAGAAGGGAGGACTGGTTGGCCAAACTGCGGTGCCTCGACACTATGGGAAACTATGCAGCAATTGAAGAACCAGGAAATAATCATATTGTCTGGCCTTCAGAGTGCTCTGTGCAAATGTACGATAAAGCAAATGAGCCACTGAGCATGCTTCGTCCACAGCGTCCTTGAGGGCCAGAGTCTTGGCATGAAGGAAGGAGGCATGGCGGGAAGAGGGAAGAGGTTGAAAGTCCCTATAGTCTCATGATGTATCTGTATTTTTGATACAGAGTCTCACCACCCCAGGCTGGCCTTGAGCCCACCTTATAACACACACACACACACACACACACACACACTCATGCTTGCATACACGTACATAAACAGCACAGGCTGGCCTCTAACTCTCAGCAATCTTCCAGCTTCAGCCTCCCAGGTGCTGGGATTACAGGTGTGCATCGACATATCCACGTAATGTATCTTTGTTACAAACTATGACAATATATTTCCTCGCTCTGTTAGAGAAAAAGATCGAAAAATAATGAACAACCCGGAGACCAAGAGCATTAAGTGCCCAGTGTGGTCTCTAGGAAGCATTTCCCACTAGGAGGAATCAGGGGTCCTTTGAGACATGGCTTCTTGCTGGACTAGAACAAAGCATGGAATGTCTCTGCTTCCTCATTGTTTGGATGACATGAAAGACCAACAGGGTCATGCCAGAAGGAGTCATTTGGCTAGAGATGGTATAATCTATGCATCCATAAAAATAATAAGTGAAACTGCTTATAAAATATATTGTGTTTAAATGGATGAATTTACAAAGACACTGAAAACAAAACATTCTAACTGGCCACCATATGAAATTGTTCGCAAATCACTCATGTTGGAAATCAGCAAGAATGGGGAAAAGAAATTAAACTTTCACCTGCCTTCCTTATATAAACAGCAGTACTAGTTTATTAAATAGAAGTTGAGAGAAGGTTCTCCTTATGGAAGCGTTCCAGCTAATAAATGGGGAAAGGATGACAAAGTGAGAACGCCACCATTTTACAGCCACTAATTAACTAATGGATCTCAGCAACAAACACAGAGCGGCCAAAATCACACACAAAAAGACAGTTAGACATCATTGTGTGCCCTCTACACAGTTCACAAAAATAAAGCCTAAATCTGATTAAATACCTAAATCAAACGAGCAATTGACAGAGAATCCAGATGACAGGACATGGTGAGTAGCACCACAGGGCTGCCGCCACAAAAATCCTGACCTGAAATCTTCCTAGGACAAAGCATCTAACTCCTTCATCAAATATGCACTGGGAGTGGCGGGGTGGGGTGTGGGGGGTGATGTTTACAAGAGAACCTGTAATTAAATGGCTCAATTGTTGGTCTACTGTAACGTGTGAATCTTATATGGAATCTGATTTTTTTTTTTTTTGAGACAGGGTCTTTCTGTAGCCCCAGCTGGCCTGGAACTCTCTATGTAGACGAGACTTGCTCAGTCTCACAGAGATCTACCTGCCTCTGCCTCCTGAGTGCTGGGATTAAAGGCATGCACCACATGCCTAGTTTGAAATCTGATTTTTAAAATTTGTTTATGTTTATTTTGTGTGTACAAGTGTTTTGCCAACCACCCATGCATACAATGCCCTCGGAGGCCAGAGAAGGTGTCAGATCCCCTGGAACTGGTTCCAAGCAGGTGTTAGCTGCCCTGTGGGTGCTGAGAACCAAACCCTGTCCTCTGCAAGAGCAGCCAGTGCTCTTATCTGCTAAGCCATCTCTTCAGCTCATAGAATCTGATTTTAAATTAATTTTTTACAAGAGCATTTTGCAAGAGCGTACTATAAGTATACACACTTGCCTGACATTTGATAGCATGAAGAGATTATTCCTACTCTTTTGTGATTATGGTATTGTGGTGACGTTAAAACAAAAGGATTGTTCTTCTAATCTAGCAGCAAGTAAAAATGCTGAGGGAGACGCAGATAGAGGGAGATCAGCCATGTATTGATGACCATTGAGGTTGGATGGAGGTCCATAAAGGTTTGTGTTTCTGCTCTTCCTACTTGTTTATGTTTCAAAGTTTCCGTGAGAAAATATCAAAACAAATCCTTCCCGATGCTATCCTTAGAGTGACACAGATGCCGGCAACATCATGGTTTGACCAGTGTCTTTCTGAGGTTTCATAACAATAGAGTTGGGTTTCGTGTTCCAGACCATCCATGTGGATCTCCACAGCTTCTCTACCTCCCTCCTCACTGAGGCATGCCACCCGGTGCTTCAGAACGTGTACTCATTTATACACAAGAATATACCAGGGGGAAGCATCCTCATGAATCATTTTACTCCAAAGCTGCCAAGGGCATGAGGGCCTCATAAGTTCATGGGATAGAGACTGAGGATGTACTGCCCAGCAAAGGCATTGAATAGAGTCCATGATGGAAGGGAGAAGAGGAGCCTTGAGCAAATGACAAGGAACAGTGGTTGCATTCTCATGCCACTGATTACAGAGTCTCCTAAATGAGAGATGATGTCAGCGGGAGGGCAAGCTGCTCAAACGCTCTGTCCCACAAACATCTGTGAGTATCCTAACTGTACTCTATGGGGTTGGGGCTTCTTCCTGTGGTCTTACTTTATTCCCAGAGCTCACTCCTTGAGGGCATGGGGGGGCTCTTCTCACACTTCAGTCATGAACCATTTTATTCACTCTCGTACTAGCCCAGAACCTTGCTGAGGACAGGAGCTTTTGTCAGTTCTTTGTAATATCTCTTACCATCATCCAGGGCCTGGAATATAGAGCTGCTTAAAAAGTATTAATTGCACAGGGTGGGTCAGTCACCATGGGAGCAATTCAGAATGTGGGTATCACAGCTGGGCATGTGAAGGTTTGACTCTTGACCCTGCCTGCTCACTATTCCCACTTGACTGATGCCACACTGTTGTTTCTGGGTTCTACTACTGACCTGTTACAAGGTTTTAGGTTTTGTAAAATAGTTTCCTGGAAAAAATAAAGCAGATGGTCCCCCAACATATAGTGGCTTGACTTATGATACCCTGACTTTACAATGGTGTAGAAGTGATGGGCATTCAACAGAAACTATACTTCAAATCTGGATTTTTCCCCTGGGAAGAGCTATGTAGTATATGATCTTCTCTTAAGATGCTGGCCAGTGAACAAACTGAAGTTCTCAATTAGCTCTGTGCTCCTGAGGGGGCATCAGTGAGTCCCCAACAGCATGCTGTGTATGATAAACTTTGATAGGCATATTAAATGCATTTAACAAGGTATTTCAACTTAAGATAGGCTACTAGTATATAACCCATCTAACATCTATCCTAAGATGAGGAAGCATAAATTTCTGCTTCTATGTAATAATATAACTTAAGAAAACAATCTTGAAATTTCACTGCACACTTACTTGGAATGGTCTTTACTGACTAACTTAGGAATAATAAAAGATGAAATTCTAACCATTCATAAAGCCTCTGACTTGTGTTAAAGGGTCAAGTGATGAGATGGTTAAGGATCGCCATATGACAGAACCCTTCTGGTCAATGAGCAAACCTGTGCATCTTCAAATGTGTATCTCCCTCCATCTTTGACATTCTGACTGGTTATCTCATAGCTGTGAGAATCCAGGTTGATTGCACTTGGGGCTCCTGGAGCCAGAAACTCTTGCCAGATTTCTTCCACCCTGTTGGCTACATCCTGTAGAGGTTGTTTCTTGAGATCTTGAACAGCCAGCCAGAACCTAGAGTGGAAGCAGAAATGCATCAGTTCCATCTGGATCATGCTAGAGATGGTCCAAAGCTGTGCTCTGAGGGACTTGTTCCATTGTATCCCCTGCCTGCCTCGATGCCATGCATGGGTCCCATGGAGACTGCTGAAAGCACAGGGTGTACTGTTGAGGACAGAAGTGAAATGCGTGTAAGAAGATCAATGAGCTCCTGGTGACTAAAAGAAGTTTCTCTCTTCCTCTGCATCAAGGTTTCTCAACCTCCGGACGATTGCTATTTTGGGATGGGGGATTCTTGTTTGGTGGGGAGGAGCTGTCTTGTAAGATGCTAGGTAGCAACTCAAGTCTCTACCACCTAGATAGCAACAGCATTCCCTACACTATGGCAACTAATCTCTAGATATTACATGTTCATGGGAGGTAAAGATTGTGCTTGGCTGATGGTCTACTGCTCCTTGAGCAGTTCTCTGTACGATGTGAATCCCTTTGTCAAATTAGTTGGGGGTATCAAAATGAGCAAGAGGAGTCTGGAAAGATGGTTCAGTGGTTAAGAGAACTTGCTAATCCTGTAGAAGACCAGGTTTGATTCCCAGTACCCACATTGGGCATCTCATAACCACCTGTAACTCCAGTTCCAGGGGATCTGATAACCCTCTTCTGACCTCTGTAGGCACTGCACATATATGATGCACATATAGACAATCAGGCACGTGCACATACATGTAAGTAAAATTAATAAAATTAAAAAATGAGGAAAAGACCACAAAAGCAGGGAGAACAAGAATCATAAAGAATGCTTGTGCTGGAATGAACCAGCCATTTATGTTACAGAGGTACAAATAGAACCATTTACATCAGTGCCCAGCATAGGTCTGGGCACATAGTAGGTGCTCTGTAAACAGCTTGTAAAAGGTTTGTCTGAAACAAAGTGGAAATACACACAGGAGGGACACCTTTCTACCGAAAGAGTCTCCAGGGAATGTGAGAAAAACACCTCCCCCCACTTCCATCCGCCTCTCCATAATTCCTCATCATCTCAGCCTTTGGCAGAGCCCCAGGTGAGCACTTTTCTGCTGACAGCCAAACCTATAACAGCAGCTCCCAGAACAGAAACTCCCAGGTCCCAAGGAGGGTTCTCCAGGCCTCCTGTCAGGGGGACCCAGCCTGGGCAGCACATTCTCCCAGTAAAAGGCACAGTCCAGTCCCCAGAGATAGCACATGTTCCATTCTGTATGGGCTCCACAGCCACAGGAGCCTGTACACTGTTGAACGGCTTTATTGATTGTATTTTGCACATGTGATAGTTACTCTGTAGCACACATGATCTTGATGAACTGGGAGGACGAACAAAACTGAACCACAAGGTGGAAAGTACATTCAATCTGCCATTGAATTTCACCCAAAGTAAGATGTATTTGGTGTGTGTGTGTGTGTGTGTGTGTGTGTGTGTGTGTGTGTGTGTATGTTAGCATGCTTTTCTGTTGCTCAGAGAAATGTCACTGGAGCCACCTACATGGCCCACAGGCGCCACTCAGTGGCAGACGGAAGTAATGCTGTCCCATTTCAATAAGGAATTGTGTGTGGTGTTGCACTTGTTCCCAGAATATTAGATGCCAAGCGCACCCCATCCCCCCATTTGCCCTTTAGGGAGCTGATCATCTTCTTAAAGAAAAACCTCATTGCCTCCTTTCTGATCCCAAAGAGCCAAGACAAAGGCAGGGAAGGTGAAACTTTCTCCATTAGGAGAACAGGGAATTCAGTCTGTGCTCAGCCTGGCTGCTGCCGTCTGGAATTGTATCTTCCAAGCGGCCTCTTCCCTCTCCTGAAAAATGGGTATGAAGTGGATGGAGGGGGATGTGGCAGAAGTCTGAAGGATTTCCTAGCTGGTCGTAACTCAGGAATGCTTCCAGGCGCCAGGGTAGGAGCCAAGGGACATCCAAGAGGCAGTCACAGTCAACACCTTGCAGTTAAGTTGGTGGTTTGGGCAGAAGCTGCCAGGGCTCTTGCTGATGCCAGGTATCATCACTCACCTTCCAAAACCTGCCCTCCTAGGTGCTCATGCCCTTCTGGCCCCCAGGGAGAGGAGTTCTGAGAGCTTTGCAGCACTTGCTTGGCAGATGAAGAAATAGCTGCTCACTCTCTGAGGGAGTGGCCTCTGGTCTGAGGCTTCAGCTGCAAACAGCATTTTGGGTTAGCATCTTTCTGGAGCCTAGGGGACCCTGCATTTTCTCACACAAATAGATGACACAAGGGTGATTTTCTGCCTTCTGCATCAAATATCACCCGGGACCTCACCTTCTACCATCTCTGCCCCTCTCCTGAGTCTGCTCAGAGGGGAGCCATGGAGCCCCTGTGGAAGGGCTCTGAGAACCCTGGAAGCTTCTCAGCCCCATATGTTCCTTGTGGGTGCTGAGGCATCAGGATCTCTTTGTGCAGAACGACCTAGGAGTCACTGTAATGAACTTCCCGTATCCGTATCCATGAACAGAAAGTCTGGGGCAGATAGATGTGCAAGCAAATTTCAGAATCAAAGTGAATACACTTTCATATTTAAAAAAAATCAAAAGATTTTTCTCTATAAGATAAAATAAAGATCTTTTGTTTTAAAAGCATAAGGAACAAAGAGCAGGCATTTCAGAGGACAGGGAGAGCAGAAAGTGAGGTGGGGAGGGGCAGAGGGGAGAGGGGACAGGGGAGATGGGAGGTACAGGGTGTCAGTTTTCTCTTCCTGTTTACACAGGGACTCAGCCCAGCCTTCTGTCTGCCTTGAAGATAACCTGCCTTGTCCCTCCCAGGTGACAGTAAAAATGCTGTCATAACAGCATCCTGACATCCCATATGTGTTTACTATCTTGGCTTTGAGAAACCTTTGTGTCAATTTGAAATTCAGAACGCTGTGGTTTGTGCCTGCCATCTTCTAGTTGCACGGTCTGAGGTGAACTGGGAGCTCAGGCCAATCACCCTTCCAACCCCCAAAGAGCCACAGAAAGCGTCTCTCCGTATATCCTCTGCTATAGACAACCCACTGGGGCTCTTGAGGCTGCAGCTCTTATCAAAAGCCTGCAGGTACTGCTCCTCTGAGGGATTGTTTAGGCATCCAATGCCAGCAACAGCTGCAAATCCAACCGTCTTGCACTAAGCTCCCCTGGTTGGCAGCAGAGGGCCCAGGACACAGGGGCTCCAGGGTAGGCAGAGATGGGAGGACTGGAGAATGGTCCAGGGCTGCCTCAGGTGATCTCTGTCTTCCTGGATGCTGACAAGGAATAGGGATTTTTTTTTTTTTCCTCCAGGCTAGCAGTAGCAGGAGAAGCTATGAGCCCTTGATGATTTTTCTATCCTACCAGTAGATCCAGATAGTCCCTCACCTGCTTACCTGTCTTTGCATAAACTAGAATTTTCATAGGCTGTGGAACACAGCTTTGGGCTTATTCTCAGAGAAAAGCAAACTCTTTGGCAGAAGGAAGGGTTTCTGTGCCCTCTGCTGGTCATTGAGTGGCTCAGAACAATGGACAAAATTCAGTTTTGTCTCGAGTTGGGCTGCAATTCTTAGATGCCCACATGGGCAGCCAGCATCAGCACCACCAGAGCTGAGCTCTGTACTGGACAGTGGCCAAGCTGCTACAGATGGCTACAGCCTTGGGGGTGTCACTCAGTTCTGATCTGTCATGTGTTTGGTTACTGTGGGATCCTGCTGGGCCCAGTGAACCTTCTGGGGTCTTCCTAGGACTTGGGGCAACTGCTGGAGATGGAGCTCTTGAGGCAAACCTGGCAGCCCCCTGTGCTCTCTTTTAATTGCTTCTCCCTTCAGCTGACACCATGTGGAAGAAGGATCATCAATCTGCAGGTTGGAAGAACAACTCCGCTCTCTCAGGAGACGTTACAGCTCATAAAAAATGTACGGAGGACGCTCTTTGTTGTAGGTTTTGATTTTTAACTCATGCCCTGCCATATGGCAGAGGGTGTCAAGTCAGGGAGGACAAAAATTCATATAGGGGAAATGAAGTGGGGGCTAAATGGCGCTGCCATCATATTGGGAAAATTCACAGACCAGGAAAAAGGACCAAGTCAGTTCTGTGACACTTCCCACTTCAGAACTATAAGGCATCCAACTTGGTAGGCCAGGAGCTACCACACATTCCCTAGGCAGCCCAGTTTTGGATAAGGCTCAGGGTGATTAGAAAAAAAGAGATGAACAGCCCCTAACACAGATAGCCACAGCAAAGTATACTCCTGGACCTACTCCCTGTCCTGTTATCTGGAAATGATAATCCTCAGTCATTTCACAGACAAATCCAGAGGAAAATGACAAGAAGAAGGGCTGGGTAAAGTACTTGCTGCACAAGCATGAGGACCTGAGTTCAGATGCCCAGCACCTACATAAGAACCAGGTACAGAGGAGTGTGCATGTAATCCCAGCTCTGGAGCCTGGAGACAGGAAGATCCCTGGGACTTTCTGGCCAGCCAGGCTGGCCAAATCAATGAGCCGATCAAGGTTCAGTGAAAGATCCTGCCTCAAAAATATAAGGTAGAGTGATCAAGGAAGATATCTGATGTTGACCTCTGGTCTCCATGCACACATGTGCACTCACATCCATGTGCATTCCCCACATGCACATGTGTGCACATCTATAGGAACATATACATACATCACACACACACACAGACACACACACAGACACACACATACACACACACACACACACACACACACACACACACACACACACTGATCAGAGGGCCCTCCCATGATACCATATCTTCATATAACTCTTTCCTTTAAAGATCCAGGTAGCACTTTGGGGCCCCTCTGTTCCTCATTCTAAAGCTCTGGTATAAATCCAACCACATAGCTCCTTCACTGCAGCTCCATGTGCTGTACCACATAGGGTGGAATGAAGTATCCTTTCCACAGAGAGATGCTAGGGAGCAGCAGCAGGCAGAAGTGGAGTGGCACATTGCAATGTATCCAGTCTCTCTTTTCTTCTGCTCTGAGTCCTGTAGCCTGGGCTTTTGACCAGTCCCGGGGAGAAGGGACAACCCCGGGAGGGTTAGTTTAATAGATGAATGAGAGTCAACCCATGCCCATTACACAACTCCCAAGAGCTGCTGTGCTCAAGGATTGTGGGGAGGTGCACATGCCTGGCCATACATGGCTTCTCTGGATGACGGCCAGAACATGGTCAGCCCTGAGTCCTTGGGATCTGGGTCACAGGAGGGCTAGGCCAAGATTTGTGGCTGACGGAACGAACAGAAGGAAAGAAAAGCAGTAACTTTGTAATAAGGGACCAAAGGGTCCTCCAGTTGTGTGACTTAAAACTGAACTTTCCTGTCTGTATCCATTTGTCCTGAATATCACAAACATGGAATTGGGGCTTCCACAGAGGATTTCTGAAGCTCTAGGGCTGTCCTTTTTCACTTTGCTGTTCTATTTTCTTTATCCTCTTTCCTGTCAGGAATCAAAGGGGGACCCTCTTTAAGTCTGGATTTATGAATACATACTGGGGTTTGGCATTTTCACACATGTGCATGTACATTCTTTCACTCAAGATTAAATGTAGCCCTCCTGGCACTGGGCAAGCTGCCGGTAGAGGCACAAGTGGAAATGGCAGGAGGAAGCGAGCACCCACCTGTCAGGGATGCTCTCCTCAGTGCCCTGGGGGTCCCATGTGGCATGCATATTTTCCAAAACTAGTCTGATTAGATACAGGACCCTGGCTACACTCTAGCTTTCAATAACAAATATCCTAGACTGGGCAAGGCTGAGGCTAAGCATTGGATGTCTCTGGGCACCTCACAATGACCAGGCCCCTGTAGGCATTATTTTTTCTATCTGTATGACTTCATGTGGCAGAGGGCTTTTAAGTCTTCTTGTGAGCTGAGAAAGTAGTAAATGGGGACACTCTAAATCATTCCCTCCTAGAGCCCAAAGGGGATAGCGATGGGGCGGTGAGAAGGACTCCCTGGCGTGACTCATGGAGAACAAGCTGGGGATAGAGACTAGACTGTGCTGACCATACAAAGAGACTACCTGGCAGAGGTTTGCTTCCTACATAGCCTGGGTGGCTGGTCTAGGTATCACTCTAGTAGACAGCATCAGAAGCCAAGACTTGTTACAAATGCTTCATTAAGAATTAAAGCAGGGTTGGGATTGGAGAGATGGCTCAGTGGTTAACAACACTGGCTGCTCTTCCAGAGGACCTAAGTTCAAGTCCCAGCACCCACATGGTAGCTAACAACAATTCGTAACTTCAGGTCCAGGGGAATTCAATGCCCTCTTCTGACCTCCATGGGCATTGCATGATATGGGTGCACTTACACACATGCAGGCAATACACTCATACATATAAGTAAAATAAGAAATAAGATTTTAAAAGAGAATTAAAGCAAAGCCTTGCGATGTGGTCAGAATATTCCAAAGAGAATACTGAAAGAACTCGTGTGTCAACCTGAAAAGAAGATCATCTTATACAGTTTATCACAGGCACAGGTCTGCATGTAGGTGATAGTTGCACCTACATGCCCTCCCAGGACTACATGGGATGGGACTGTCATACTATTTTCTGTGAGGTTGATCTTGATCTCTCCACGCCCCCCACCTTCCTGGCCACCATGATGTAAGATGCTCTGCTCTGTGATGCACTCTCTACCATAGTGGACTAAAAACTCTGAAACCATGAGCTGAAATAAATCTTTCCTCCCTTGAGTTATTTCAGGTATTGACCATAGTGACAAAGAAATCTAATATCTACCCCATGGCTAATTCAGTCTCCTGGCTTAGAATATATTCCTTGTTTTTTCTTTGTCTATTGATATCGTGAATTCTTCAAGTCTAGCTTTTGCTTTGTCTTACATCCTTTCCGCCCTCCTTGAAATACTTCCAAAATGGTTTTAGAGTCTATACTTATTTGTATTCAACTAATGATTTTGTTTCTTGTGTGTTTTCCTCAAGGACCTACAAGGTTGTTGCAGGCAAAGATTGTACATCTTGACTGTCTTGCATCCCCCAGAAGACCTCTGGTGGGGCTTGCTACAGCACAGATTTGCCATAAATGTCACCTAATTGATGTATGGAACTAAAGTGGTCTCTAACATCAAACATCATGGATTTTACACATTAACATTGGAGAAGATAGTCCTATTCCAACATTATATGCTCTGATTTTTTTAAAGTTAAAAATTTCAAAAATTAATAAAAAAGTCTACTTCAAAAAGTAGCATTAAAAGAAAACCTGATGCAAAGAGAAAGAGGAGACACACACACACACACACACACACACACACACACACACACATATATCGGGGGGGGGAGCTCACCTGTAAAGTCCCCAGTTTGCTAAGATCACGAGGGAGTCTCACCTCGTGATTTATTTAATCATAATCCATGAGTCATTTGGTTCTTTATCAGACACAATAAAAGGTCCCCTGGTTCCTCATTTTTTGTGTGTGACCAAGAAAATTGTCCTTTTCCTATGTTCTCTTCTCTTTCTTTTACATTAGATTCCATGTTTTAGATGTTTTCTTTCTTCTCCTATTAAATAGTAATTGTTAGTACACGTCCCCATAAAATGCTAGTTATGGACCAGAAGAAACAACTGGATGTTCTCCCTGGTGCCAGCTGGTCCAGGGAGGTACCATTGGAGATGCTAGGCTTCTCCTCAAGGGGAAAGGCATGTTTCATCAGCCTGTGCAGTTCCAGTTCCAGTTAGGCAGTGATACTGACTCTGGCTTTCTGAACTCTGAAATGAGTTCATTCATTCCCCTTTCTTCTGTTTGACCTCTCAGGGGGCCTGAATTGCTGGAACTGGGACCTTTTGGGGAAGAGGTGCTCTGAGCTGCTTCCTTACTCTGAAACTCCATGGTTCCATGGTTTTACTTCACGAATGGTGTCATAAAAGCCATTTGACAATTCAGTTATTACCAAAAACTTGTTTCCAGGTAGTTTGAACAAGTGCCATCCAAACTTAAAGAACTAGAAATTGATAGGTGTTATCATGGTGGTGGTAAATTTGCATGTTTTAATTTATTCTCCAATTCAGCCTTAGCCAGATCAGCTAGTATTTGAACCTGAACCCTAGTGATGCTTTCTTGAGAAAGGGAGGTAGAAAGATTGATGATGATTGACTTTGCAAATTTCTTTACACACACACACACACACACACACACGCACACACACACACACATTCTGCATGCAATTCAAACTTTTGAGTTACCTGAGATTTTCTGAACTGAATTCTGACTCCAGGAATCGAAGGAACTGGTCCCGCCCCACCTGGTCCTTCAGTATCTCATCAAAAGAGAAGCCCCATCGTTTCACTCGCTGCTGGCTGGGCTCTTTGCTTTGAGGTGGAGGAGAAGGTTTGAAGAATGATCAGTATCAAGCAAAAGCCCATGTCATCTCTTTAATAACTCAAGTTCATTTTGCTGCCCCACATCAAGGGGAAATGCCTCATATCTAAGTGACAAATCCCATAAAACTTGTACAAATGTCAAATGTAGGCTTTTGCACACCAACAGTACACAGTGGTAAACTGGTTCTTAAAAGGGGCATGTGAGCTCACTCACTTCCCTTTGCTTCCCTGGGCCTGCACAACCCACCAGCCTCTCTCCTGGGAGCCCTCTGGTCCTGGTCCCACCCCCACCTCCTTCTGCTTCCCTGGGCTGCACAACCCACCAGCCTCTTTCCTGACCTGTTGCAGATGACCTGTCGGCTTCCTGATACTTTGCATCCAGACCAACCCAGTTCCTCAGTGCAGTCCCAAGGAACCCTTGGGGCCTCTTCCCTCCCCCATCTCCCATTGCATCTCTAGGTAACATGGCCACCAGCTGCCCGAGACCAGCATCTTTCCTGGGCCCTGCTCCCAGGCCAGTCCAACCCCCAAATTCCTGAGGACAACATCTTTCCTGGAGGGATCCAGGCCTTAGGAGAAAGCCTGAGAGCATCTGATCCTCATCTGACTTGCACCCCTGTGGGAACTCCTGAAGACAAAAGCAATCTGGCTACTCCAATATAAAATCAAAAGAGAGAACCGGAAGCTTAGACAAACCAGCTTTTTGTGCCCAAAAAGTAAACCACAAAGGCACATAAAGTTTACAAAAAAGGAGCAGACCTAAACTTGAAGGCTTGAGTGTCACATAAGAATCAGAAACTACAGAAGAAATTCACATGTCAAAATCACAAAGAAAAAATAATAACATGAAAAAAACCAAAATAACATATGCCCACCAAATACCAATAGTCTTCTAGAGGAGTACAGTGAGAACCCCCTAGAGATAATGCAGGACATATAAATCAAAAGAACAATTATAAACATGATAAAAGAGGACGAACTAGACCACTCAAGCAAAGATTATGAAAAATTTAAGAAA